CGTACCTCACCACCAGAGAAATGGCGACCATGCTTAGCTATGATCATTCGACGGTTGCACGTGGACTAGAAAAGCTCGGCAAGGTAGCAAAGCTTGGTCGATGGGTCCCACATGAACTGTCCGCTTATGACCTCTCGAGGAGGGTGACCACCTGCACTTCTCTCCTCACTTTCCAAAAGAGGCTTCACTTTCTCAACTCGATGATCACTGGAGATGAGAAGTGGGTCCTCTACGATAACCCTGTGAGGAAGCGGCAGTGGGTCGACAAAGGAGAACAGCCAGAAGCCACCCCAAAGGCCGACCTTCACCCCAAAAAGGTTCTCCTGTCCTGTTGGTGGTCCAGAAGAGGCATGGAGTACTGGGAGCTGCTGGAGAAGGGACAGACGATTGACGCTTCCACATATGTTACCCAGCTGCGCAAATTGAAAGATCACGTCGACCGTACTCGTGGATCGAATGCGGAAATCTACTTCCACCATGACAACGCCCGACCTCACACTGCAAAGGCGACCCAGGCCGAGCTGGAGAAGTACGGATGGCTGATGGTCGCCCACCCTCCCTACAGCCCTGACCTCGCTCCTTCTGACTACTGGCTGTTCAGCCACCTGCAGCGCTATCTGGACGGAAAAAAGTTCGAAACAAAGGATCAGGTCAGAAAGGCGCTCGACGACTTCAAGTCCCAGCCTCCGTCGTTCTGGAAGGATGGAATCGACAAGCTGCCTGAGCGCTGGCGTCGAGTAGTGAATGGTGATGGTGCATACCTCTAATCTCCAGGCTGGTTCGTTTTTGAGATATTTACAAAAAAGTCGTGTATAAGAACTTATGCAACAACCTAATACTACACACATACATGCATACATACAGGCTGAAAACGGGCACACAAAGTTTTTGCTTTATAAAATAGAGCGATGGAAGAATTCGCAAACAGTAGCTCTCAGTGTCTCTGGGCAAAACAATGTACGATCAGCCTATTTGTTTTTCGCCACCTAGGTATCCATCTTCGGTTACGATGAAAGGTGAAGTGCTCAGGAAATTGGGTAGTAATAGAGGTTTCTCGCTTCTAAAGTGACGGAGAGTTGGCTACTTGCGCGTTTACTCGTAAATGAGTAGGATCGTGTAGATTTTTGCGCACGACTTGGAAATCCCCTTCTCTGCCTTGGACGAAGTAGAAGTTTGGAAATCTGTTAAGTAAGCCACCGATCTGTGCACAGCATGCGATTTGTCTTGCAAAGGAAACTCGGAAATTCTATAGATACTTTGCGAAGAGCAAGCATATCTAGTATTGAGGTGTTGTCTTATTTTCGGCTTCGTAGGCGCGCTCGATGTTTATATCGGCACGGTCTGGACCCTTGAGAATGTACATGTAGAGATACTTTTCAGCGGAGATCATCCTGCGAATCTCCTAGTTAAGACGACAGCCATATTCTAGGATAAGGTTTGTTTTTGTTGGCACCCTATCCGTCCTTATAAGGAAATCCATGTACTTCAGTTAAGAGGTTGCGTCTTTTGTACAATGGATATCCATCTCCTTCCATCAAAACTGTGTGGCGCAGAGGCTTCAGAAATCGTTTGTCACATGACCAGTTCGCATACGCGGTGAGTGAGGGTCCACAGCGCCACACTGATGGTGTATCAGAAGTAGTGGCATTGTAATGCTCCGTTTCTTTAAGACGTTTGGTGCTCATTGCAGCGCCACTTCTCTCAGGTGTTTGCACTTTCCGCCCTTTATCAACAGCATATGGCTATGTATACCACGTTTCTGGCGAAGTGCAGGCATGACAATGTTGTCGAGTTTCAGAAACGTGGTATACCACTCGACAACATTGTCATGCCTGTGCTCGCCTAGTACATGTTTCTTGAATAGATCTGAGCATAGTTCCATCAGTTTTGCAATAAAAACACCCGTTGTTACACCAAGGCGATCGGTTTCGCTCAGCAAATAAACTTCCTGGATTCTTTCCATTGTGGATTGCAGGTCATGGTCAAGAAGTACAGGGGTTTACTAAAGCGTGCTACGATAGCCATGGCGTCTTCGATCGTTGCTGTATAGACCTCGGACCACTGATGTGGGTTAAAGGCACAGTTCGCGACCGCAAATTGCGGGAAACGGAACTCAAATAGGCACAAAAAAGTGCTAAGTATCTGATTAGCGGAGAAAAGCAGCAGAAAAAGCAGTCCGAAATGTTATAGAGAAAGATAACATAGTGGCTACTAGCTAGTAGCTAGCAG